AGTCTTTTATAGCTCTCAATGTAGCCTGCTTCCATCATGGGATGAACTAGGTCCCGTGGAAGAGGGACTGGATTGTGCTAGAGATGGATCGGATGGTCCTGTGGTGGTATTAGATGATATGGTAGAGGTACCGAATTGTACTGTGGTGGTGTCGAGTAATATGATTGGTGCATCAGACTATACTATGGTTGTATCGGGTGATGTGGTTGGGGCACCGGACCATACTGTGGTGGTGCTGGATGGTACTGTAGAGGAGTAGGGTCGTATTGGGATGGCTCAAGATCCTCTCGTTGCAGGGGTGGCTTAACTTCTGGCAGTGAGGGAGGGTCAATTAGCTCATTCATTTCCTCCTAGACTTGTTAGGTAGCGATAAGTCTCTCTAGTATTTCAAATAGTCGATCAACATCCTCTCGAAGCGAACCCTCCCAAGTTGCTCAATTTAGTGGGGGTCTTCCTCTCCTCATCTATCTGTACTTGTATTTCACAAGAAATTATTGAGTGATAATTCATTTTTTCTTTTTTTTTGTGTTTCCTAAAGTTTTCATGTAATTAATGGTTACGAGGAACGCGGCTCTGATACCAACTGTAACAGTCAAGAACTTAAAAGAAAATAAATTATAAATTGAATGCGGAAGCAAAATAATAGAGTTAGGGTTTACATTCCTTACACAATAATTTAGAATACCGATAGGGATACGAGAATGACAATTCTAAAAGAACAAGTGAAAAATCAAAAAATAAATGAAAAGTAAACAATTAGGTCTCCTATGACGATCTTCACTAGTCTTTGAAGGGAGTTCAAGTGGTGAACTATTCACAACCCCCTTATTGATTAGGATATGGATCTTGGTGCTCTTGATCTGAAATGGTTAATGAAATGGTGAGCTATACTAGTCCAGTAAGTATATCATACTACTCACTGATACAGAAATTAAAATTGGAAAAAATTATAAAACCAACTAATGGAACTCTTAATTTAAGTAAATTCATTTATCATAAGTAAAACTATTTATTGCACACTTACCGTTTGGAAGATTTTCAAAACCGACATATAGAGACAATAGCTCAACAATATCATAATCTCATATTCGAGTAAGCCAGAATAATAATTTTCTCTTTTTTATTTGCCTACTGGTATCTATGGGGGTCCATTGGGATGTCCCACTACATGTAAAGCAACATCCAACCTTTTTAACTAACTAGTCGTCCCCATACCCCATCCGGTATGAGCACAAAAATACTATCCCTCAATACCCCGTCTGGTATGATGGTAAAACGGGTCGTTCCCATACCCCGTCCAGTATGAGTGCCAAAATATCAATCCTCGATACCCCGTCCAGTATGAGGGTGAAACAGACCGTCTCCATACCCCGTGCGGTACGAGTGCTAAAAATACCAATTCTCGATACCTCATCCTGTATGAGGCGACGTTCACGGTAGGGTTCCCTATGTACCTGATCCGTTTACCATCTCTTAGGATATCCAGTAAAGTTATCATTCATTCATTCACTTAACCAATCAATTTTTCGTTTACATTTAATTTTCAATTTCACAATTTAACTATAAATCACGCAATACAAGCAATACATGCATCAAGAAAATATAACTGAATTATCTTACCAATTTCAGAGTATTTACATACATTTAAAACTGTAAAATCAAATAATCAGTTAAAATAGGACAAACAATAATGAATAATTGATTACGGCTATATTATTAACTTATAATTAATTATCGAAATTTTCTAAATTTCATAAAATACCGTATTATTTATACTTAAACTTTAATTCTATAATAGAAAATAAGGTGAGAGATTCTTAACCGAATCGGTATCCAAAATATTGAACTTTCTACTGCGCCTACTGGCGGTCCCTGAGTTTCTTGAATTTTCTTGTGGAGGTAAAAATATGTTTCACGTACCTAAAAATACCCCAAAAGATCCAAAATCGGTGTTAAAAATTTTTTTCGGCCAACTTCAAAATTCTGGCACGGCGGCACCGCCGTGCTCCAGTGGCTTGCCCTGACCTGGCCATTTTCCGCTAATTTTGGCCGGTTTTGGTATGTTTTATACCCATCCCTGCGAGAAAACACGTTAGGGGGCCTCAGTTGGCTTAAAAATTTGAAAAACAAAAACTTACCAGCGACAAAATTTTCTGGTGTGGCGGCTTCGCCTGCTCACCTTCGTGACTGGGCATTTTTCTTTGGTCAATCTATAGAAAATAGAACGGTGAACACAATGCTAGAAAAATCGCACGAAAAGGGAAACGGAAAATGGGAAATGGGAAACAAGAAGGGGCTCATCAGATGCGATTTTTAGTTTTTTTCACGACGGCACTGCTAGACTTTACCCACAGTTTCCGGCTCATTCGCCTTTTCTTTTGTTTCGATTTGGTTATGAGAGTGTTCAAAATCAAAATTCGAGCAAATAGGAGAATTTTTACCTTTTTTGCAGTTAGAGGTGGTTCTAACACGGCGGCGGGCGACGGTTGGCGGTTGGCTCCCTTCTCCGGTGACTAATTCTTCTTCTCCGGTGGGGGGGCTAGCGGCTAAGGTTTGAGTTCGGTGTGAAATGAGATTCCTATACCCGTCTACCTTAAATCTGGGCTATTCATTGCGTTTGATCTCAACTGTCCGATCGTATTTAAAGAAAAAATGAATCTATACTGTTCATGACAATTTGATATCGACCGTACGATCATATTTAAAGAGAACGAATCTGACCATTCTTCGCATTTAATCGTGATCATCTGATCGCGCTTGAGGAGGGAACGGATCTGGATCGTCCATGCGCACGGGAACTAATTTAGGCCGTCTGATTGCGAGCACGCGAATTGCAATTATGGCCTCCCGCATGGCACCGAGTCAGCGTGCCTTGCTACGCGGCGCTTCGATTCATTGACACTTCTGACTGGACAGCCTTACGTGATGCAATTTTTTTTAATTGCGTTATGACCTCCAGTTTTTAATTTTTCTTTCAAAAATAGTATCTGACCCCAAATTTTCACTTTTTTTTTCAAAATTATTTTTAATTTTATCATCAACCTATTTTTTCCTAATTTTACATTAAATAAATATTTATAAATTTAAAATTTATATTTTTATATATTTTTTTTTAATTTTAAAATTAATCTCAAATCAAATTTCTGGTATGAGTATTATATATATTGCATAAATTACATACTTAAGTGAAAGCATTAAGTTAACCAAGTTTAAGTGATTAACTATAATGTTCTCCGTTAAAATAGATTTTGAAGATCATGAACAATAAAAGAAAAAATTAATTAGAGGACAACAGTACCAAACTGAAGATGATCACACACAAAATGTTAATTAATCTCTATACGATTTCCGTCTCTCATGAAACGTTGGATTATACGCAACATGAGTAACAGTCTAGTTGTGATAAAATAATAAGCTTGTTGGATCCATAGTTTTTCACTAGTTGTAACACTTAGAGCTCCATACTTGGCCTCGGTAGAAGAACAAAAAATAGTGGTATATTTCTTTGACTTTCAAAAAATAAGAGAATCACATAAAAAAAATGCAAAAAAAATTGAGTAAATCTTTTGGAGTCAATATAAGAGACTCAATCTACATTTAAAAATGTTTTCAGGTCCAAAGAAGGTTTTGCATAAAGAAATAATCATTTTCACATGTTTAAATTTAACATACTGCAACAGACGATAAGCTACTTGCAAATGAGCCTAATATTTTTAGACAATCGTGTTAATTCCAGTAATTAAGTAGGTGACCAACTAACTTGATATTTTATTTTTTCTTATCCACCTATAACGATTCAAATCAAATAAAAGGACACCCAAAATAATAGATAACCGTTGTAAAAGAAAATGTACTTTGATGGTGTGTAATCTTAAAATAAATTATAAAATTATTATATTTTATGAGTATTAAACTATAATAATATAAATAGTTATCAACATATTTAATTATCATGAATGTCCTTTAGTCTCTTTTCTCATCAATAAAAGGAGCACATATTCTCATTTCATTTGAGTTTTTAATCAATTAAATTTTTAAAATTCTTGTGCATAATAATTAAATAGAGAGAAGAAGTGAGTCAAATAATTAAGATTTTTTTTTTATTCAAATGGATCTCTTAATCATGTTATAGTTGTATCATTTTCAAATTGTATATAGTTCTAAATTTTTGTTGTTTTTTACTTGTCTTAAGATGTTTTGAATTCAATAAAAATAAATTCCGCATCAAATACTTCTAACAAATCGATGAACAATAAGTGTGATATTTGGTCGAGAAATAACTAGATACAATAACCTTCTAACCGAGCTTCAATCAGACAACAAAACTCCTCCATCAGCACTCAAATTAACTTTAGGAGCCGTAGACATATCAGGAGAACTACTTACTGCAATGTCATAAATATACACCAAAATTGCCTACAAAAGAATTATCACAATCTTTGATAAACAAGGAGTAGTCTAACTTTAATTGATGATAACTAAATTAAATAAGAGCATAAAAAAAATTTTCATTCAAGTGTCTGAGGCCTACTTAAGAGACATAAATTAATTTGTGCAGCTTACAAAATAATTAAGAGCCAATATTCAAATCTTCATAAACAAAATATTAAAAAATAAAAAATAAAAATCCAAATGTTTACTATTAGATTTGTGCATAAAATGGAAACGGTTGAATAAAGGAAAATGATAACCGATTAGATAAATAAATAAATAAATGGTCAGTGAGCCTTCCTGAAATTTTAAACTTATTAAATGCAAACCACGCGGTTTTCCTTTTATAATAAAACCCCCAAATATGGGCCCACCTTGTAGCTGTAGACCAACCAATTAATTAAGGGCCGAATACCCAATTCTTTGCTGACATAAGGCCAGGGCCCACGTCAAACGCTACGTAGAAAGCTCAGCATTCTCAGTTCCCCGCTCTTATCTCACCTTGCCACGTGTCTTTCCACGTACCTTCATCTACCGACTCCTCTGGGTCTCCACATTACCCCCTCCAGCTTCTTAAGCATAGCATTCCCAAATCACGTCCAGGTTCACTCCCCCAAAGCTTTATCTACCAGTCGCTGTAAAAGCCGTCATATTCTGACCACCTCTATATTTCGCTCCTTCTGCCGTTTTCTTTTTCCCCCCTTCACGCTTTCTCTAATTTCACAGTTTTAGGGTTTTCGAGTTTTGTCGAATGGAAGCATCTGTTTCTTCTTCGACGACGAGCGGGAAGAGATTTCGTTACTTTCGCTGTGCCTTTTTCAGAAATTGTTGTCGCTGTTTCTGTTGCTTTTACACGTATCCCTGAATCAATCCCCGCGGAACCAAAGAAAGAAATCCCTAATTTTTCCCTACCTTGAAAATTTATAGAGAGATATTTTCTCTTGCTCGCTCTGATTTGAGGGGTTTTATGGATTTATCTCATGCTCAATCGGATCTCTCTTTAGGGTTTTCAAACTCCCACGCTTGTCTGCCGGCTAAAATGCCAATCGTGGATGATTCGATTAAGCTACAAATCGATTCGAGCTTTCGTCCCTCGCCGAACCCAATCCCTTCAGTTCCTTTACAGTTGCTTGAGCAAAGAGTGGAGGAACCCCGTGATGATAACGGAGAACAAGGAGACCAGAGGGATGATGAACAATTCTGCATTTTGGGTCATCCGCTGCGCTTGAAGAGGCAGAGAGACTGCCAATCCCGGATGTCTCCAAATCCTCCAAAGCGGATTGCGGTCGAGCAAGGGATGGAGGCTAGGCGAGCCGCGGTCCGGGCTTGGGGAAACCAGCCCCTAGCAATCGCGGACCCTGAGGTGCACGAGATTATGGAGAAAGAGAGACATCGGCAATTCAAAGGAATCGAGTTGATTGCTTCGGAGAATTTTGTCTGCCGGGCAGTGATGGAAGCCCTGGGCAGCCACTTGACCAACAAATACTCGGAGGGAATGCCTGGAGCCAGATACTACACGGGGAATCAGTACATTGACCAGATTGAAAATCTATGTTGCGAGCGTGCGTTGGCCGCCTTCAGCCTTGATTCTGAGAAATGGGGTGTTAACGTGCAGCCTTATTCATGTACCTCAGCTAACTTTGCCGTGTACACCGGACTTTTGCTACCTGGTGATCGGATTATGGGTTTAGATTCGCCATCTGGTGGACACCTAAGTCATGGATACTACAGGCCTGGCGGAAAGAAGGTGTCTGCTTCGTCAATATTTTTTGAGAGCCTTCCTTATAAGGTGAATCCGCATACTGGGTATATTGATTATGATAAGGTTGAGGAGAAGGCCCTTGATTTTCGTCCGAAGATACTTATTTGTGGAGGGAGTTCATATCCTAGGGAGTGGGATTACGCTAGGTTTCGACAGATTGCTGATAAGAGTGGAGCCGTGCTGATGTGCGACATGGCTCATATAAGCGGTCTTGTGGCAGCTAAGGTCTGATGTGATGATCTAACACTAATGTTTTGTTCCCTTGATTTGACCAAACTTTATGCAATTGCTTTAAATTAATTAGTGCATGCAAAGTTAGTTCTTTGTTCTAAATTTGTTGCCAAGCTTTTCGGGCAGAAAGATAAAACCAGTGATGTTATAGTGCAACTAACAGATGAGTAATTAATCTATTAGTTTTTCTAAGTTCGAACTGCTTCATCTGCTAACAGTTTTATGTATTGGACTCTTATTTGTCAATTGCTTCTGTCAGTCATATCTAAGTAAGAACTGCTTAATCTGCTAACATTTTTTTGTGTAGGACTCTTATTCGTCAATGACTTCTGTCAGTGATATCTAAGTTGGAACTGCTTCATCTGCTAACATTTCTATGTATCAAACTCTTATTCGTTAATGACTTCTCATCATGCTCTTTCTCATGTTAAAGTTTTGCTCTTCTTGAGACTGCATCTTATAAGACTAGATATCACCATTTCTTGTCTCATTAGTACTCTTCTGTGATAGGTCAAGTAAGAACATTTAGCATTAGAACCACCTAAAAATTATGAGAGAATTAAATGTCGGGCTGATGACCACTGTAGCCACTCAACTTGACAAGTTTTTTATGTTACATTTTGAATGACAGACTTCCATGCTGGAACCCTAAATCAAAATAAGAAAGTTTATCTGAGTGCATGATATGCTGCCTTAGGCAAGAGATAGGATTTTGTCTCCCTGGATTCCAAAAGTCAAAATGGTGCCCGTTGTCTGAGTGTGTGAAAGGCTGCTTTGGGTCGGAGGTTGCTGGCCTGGATTAACTACTGATCCATTGTACATTATAGTCCTATTTTGTTCACTTTGCTTTTTTCTCATGTTCATGCTATCAATACTACTCAATATGTGTTCTTGTCAAAAAAAAAAAATCTCATTATGTGCTGATAACTAACTCCTAGATGCATTTTCGTGTGCTATAATAGATAATTCATCAACTGATTTAACATGTCCTCCTAAGAGTGTTCAATTTATGTTCCTGATATTCATGGGAGACTGTCGCGTTCGTTGAAGGAAAAGGGCTTATACTGCTTGCTATTAGCAAAAACTCAGTAGATTAGATATAACCCCATATTGCACTGACACACAATAAACATTCAATGTTTAAGAAACGTTTTGGTCATAATCTTTTCTTACAAGGAATTGTTTATTTATTAGAACTTTATTGAAGAAAACTATACAGAGGGTGCCCTGATCTGACTAAGTTATTGGTGTGAGCTTTGCAACATCTGCAGGGTGCTAAAGAAAGTTTTAACCATTAGAAAATTGCTCTAATAACTTTTACAGTTAATACTTTCTACTTGTTGATGAATAATTTCTTGCGCTATTTCTGAATTGTAGTGTTGTCTGTTTTTATTTGCAGGAATGTGCAAGTCCATTTGATTACTGTGACGTTGTTACTTCAACAACACACAAGAGTCTACGTGGTCCAAGGGGAGGTATCATCTTTTACAGGAGAGGCACCAGATCAAGGAAGCAAGGATTGCATCTTGGTCACGGTGATGGTAATAGCCATTATGACTTTGAGGAGAGAATAAACTTTGCTGTTTTTCCATCACTACAAGGAGGTCCTCACAATAACCACATTGCTGCGCTGGCCATTGCCTTGAAACAAGTTGCTATGCCTGAATACAAAGCTTATATGCAACAGGTGAAGAGAAATGCTCAGGCTTTAGCGATGGCTTTGTTGAGAAGGAAATGCAGATTGGTGACTGGGGGCACTGACAACCATTTGTTGCTGTGGGATCTAACTTCTTTAGGCTTAACAGGTAGGTTACCTTTTACTCAATTATTAAGTATATGGATGCTGACACGTGGAGTTGAAGTAGTTATGATTCCTATTGCATTCCCATTGGTACTTGTTTAATGTATTATTTAGGTTTTCATTTTCTTCATCATGACCCACATACGGAGAGCCTGTCGTCTGTTAGGTTGATTATGTTGCCATTTTTTACAGTAGATGATGCTGGTCTTTCAATATTCTAATGAACATCTAAAAATTATTTTGTCAGTTCTCTTTCTTTATCTTTTCATAGCCTATGATATTGCATGGAATACAAGCCTCTTAAATTTCACATAAATGATGCTAGTTACTTGAGCGAGGTTATATTGTGGTATTCTTGATGTGGACACAGATACTTCTTTTAGAGGGATTGATACTGCTCGTGTTAATAGAATTTTTATTTATAGCTGTTACTGATTGCATGGGTATCTATGAACTTATTTCTTACCAATATACAACGAAAGCAATCGATTGCTGCGATGTTGATCTAAAAATCATGCACGCTTTGTTGGGCCCTTTATGACTAAAAATAAGCTGTTGTGAAAACTTGAGTACTATCTGCTTCTTGGGATATTCTCAATTAATCTGAGTTTCCTTAAATTGCTTTTAAACTGTAATTTTGACAGATTTTGCCTCCCTTACAACTTTAGGTGTATGGTTCACCAGTTTAATAGGCATCCTGAAAAGTGCCAAATTCTTTCCAGCTTCTTGGCTCTGGGTGCAATTGGGATATATATAGTCATGGCATCAAATTTGTGATTTCATAGAACTTGCACAGAATGGATGTTATGCACACTGGGAAGTTTTACATGGGTTTGATCAATATTTTGTCCCCTGGATTGTTCAAGCGATTACCAGTTTGGCCAATGTTCATTAACAGTTAGGAAAATATTTTTTTTCCACAAAAAAGTCAAGAGCATTGTGCTTGGTTTGACTTTCATTCTTCTCTTCCAGTTTTAATCTTTTTATTTTCCTAAACTGCCCAAGAATTGGTAATGTTGATTGCAAACCTATAATGCTAAGGTATTCATTGTGTACTAATGGTGACACCGAGTTGATATGACCTAAGCACAGGTTTCACTTTAGTCTGGTTGTTGCATTGCTACTTCATTGTCAAAATAGAGTGTCAGTTGGGTGCTTGCCTTTTGAAGTGTCCTATGGACTACGAAGGAAAACTAATAACTTTAGGAGTAAAATGTAGATGATATATCCTCTTTGAGTGTTTTCACAAGTGAAGAAACAGATGTATTTGCTATCATTTTGCTATGTGAGATGCTACTGTGGTTTTAGGTCTTGATAAGTGGATTACTTAATTTCAGTCAATATTTTAGGTAGATTCTTTCTAAATCTAAAGACTACAGTGACAAGCAATTTGAAATTTCCAGATTCCTCCATTATGCAATTGCTTTAAAAGGTCGAACTTTTTGCTATATAAGAGGCTATTGTGTCTGTCTTGTGATAGATTGATACTTTACTTCGGTCAACATTTTAGGTAGATTGCATAAATCTAAAGATTGTAATTGGAAACATCTGGATGCCACCAGTATTTGGGCTTTAAATTGTATATCTAGGTAAAGTTAGCATGGTATCCATGTAAAGGTACTGGTCTTATCTGAATTTCAAAGCAGAAGAAGCTATACAACTTGAAGTAAATTAAGACAAAAGGTTGCTTGCAAATGAAAGTAGTGGAAGTTAAAAATTATAGGATAAAGGATAGGAAAGAGAATGGATAACAAGAAAAATGAGAGGAACGGAGATCTTGATTTTTAAAACTTTTAATAATCAAAATTTTCTAGCTGTCTAGAAGTTGTAAAATTGTTACTCTTATATATGGAAACAAATATATACTGAGGTAAATTCTGGTCACAACTTGCAAACAGGAAGATAACAATTTACGGCTTACATGTATACGTTTTGCTGATATCAATACTCATATAAATAGTGTATCTTCTTTGTTTCTTTTTCTCTCTCTATAATCTATATGCCCACTCTTTTTTTGTAGGCAAGAATTATGAGAAAGTCTGTGAGTTGTGTCATATCTCTCTCAACAAAAGTGCTATATATGGCGACAATGGCACTATTTCTCCTGGAGGCGTGAGGATTGGTAGGTCACTTGGAAAAGAAACATGTTACTCTCGTTTTGCACTCTGAACCGTGAAAGATTTTATTCCGTGTGTGCTTTTTCAGGTACTCCAGCCATGACATCAAGAGGTTGTATGGAGTCTGACTTTGAGACAATTGCTGATTTTCTACTTAAAGCAGCTCAGATTACTAGTCTTCTGCAGAGGGAACATGGAAAGTTGCAGAAAGAATTTCTCAAGGGCCTTCAGAACAACAAAGATGTAATTGAGCTTCGAAATCGAGTTGAGGCCTTTGCTTCCCAGTTTGAAATGCCGGCCTTTAACATTTGAATACAGAAGAGAAGAGAGACAACATGCTGCAACTGTAGCATTGGTGTCTCTGTTTATGCATGGTAATCCCATTCATTTTTTTTTTTTTTTTTTTTCTGCAATGCCAATATGTTTTGCCATTAATGTCTTGTAAATTACGGAAAATAGGTGAATACTATGGGGACATTTTGATTGTAACGTCTGTGAAAATCATAAAAGTAGTTTATTTCTGTACTGTATCAGAGCTTGATTTAAACCCTATTGTGAATGAGTGATTCTTTTTTTCTTAAAACAGAAATGTTGTTGAGGATGCAGAAAAGTGGAAGCAAAAGCTGTAAACTACTATTTCTCCTTATTAAATATTATTATTATCTGTATAAAAGGAAAAGGAGGACATGATTTCTGGTGATAATGTTGGGGAACATGAATAATTCTGCTGCCGAAACTTCTTGCTACTTGTGCTGCTGCTTGTTGCTTGCTGGCTACCTTTTTTTTTTTTTATTTTTTTTTTTTAATTTAAAAAAATGATTTTAAAAATAGAAAGTAAATGTGTTTGGTGTGTTCGATTGCTTTTGTGGTTGCCATTAATTTTTTTGTTTATTGTTTATTGTTTGTTGAGAATGGTGATATTGAACCCTTGAAGGGAGGCAAGGCATGAATTTCCGGCGAGGGACAAAAAAAGCATGAGATTTGGTTAGAAGTTGGAAAGTGACTCGTTCCACAAGCCCCTAAATAAAGCAGAAGTTTTCTTCTTTTTTTTTTTTTTTTTTTTAAAATGTACCACCTCTTCTCACTTAGCAGGAAGAGAGAGAGAGAGGGGGGGAGGGGGGGAGGACATGTCAGTAGGAGATGGAGAGCAAGGCTTGATTAATGATCGAGTCCATTGGGTTGAAAGTTAAGCGAATCAGACAAAAGCTTGGTAAGCGCAAGGTTGGAAGCCGCTTTACAAATTTAAAGCCTACTCAGGAATCTCACACCTACTTCCCTCTTTCATCATTTTTTCACAACCAGAATCATTACCCATTTCACTCCATTACTTTGCTACCAAAATCATTTCAACTCCGGAGACAACTTACATACAACTCCACCCTGACTGACCCCTTAATTATTTCAAAATCTTTATACTCATTGAACTTGAAATACAATATATATATATATATATATATTTTTTTTTTTTTCCAAAAGAAAAAACAAGTGGATATTTTGACTGTCATATTCTCCCTGCAACATAACACAAGAACCTTCTATTCTTCTTGTATATGTATATATAGATATATATTTCTCTTCTTCCCAAATGTTGGTATATCAGCGAAGAAATAAGATGCCTTTGATTCATCACAGTAGAACAACAATGCTGTCTGTCCTTGCTTGAAAATTAGTTCCCTCTGCTCATTCTTTTTTCCTTGTCTTAACATAACATTTTTGACATTTATCTCTCACCCCATAACTATTCTTCTCTACCACCATTTTCTCTTCATCTTCCATTCTCAACTTTCTTTTTTAGGAGAAAAAAAAAAGAATTATACATCTCCGATACCTTCAATTATAGTAAATGTTAAAAAAAAAAAAAAAAAAAAAAGAACAAAGAAAAGAAAAACACAAGAAAGAAAGGGAAAAAAAAAACCCAAAGAAAAATAAGAAGAGAAGGGGTTAAATGACTTCAAAGGTACAGCAACAACTCCCTCCCCAACAGCTGATTCCTCTCTCCCTTGTATTTCTCCTTTTTCTTTTTTGGGTTTTTTTTTTTTTTTTTTTTTAAAGTTTTTTTGGGGCCGGGCTATTCTCCTCCTCATCATCTCTACCTATGACTGCAAAAGTCTAAAAGCTTCTTCCTCCCTTCCACAATCTCGTCAAAGAAATCATCAAGCTGTGCAACAATGTTCTCAGCCCCAGATCTCAATACCCCAAAACACCCTTTCAAATTCTCCACCCTTTCCCTTATCCCTACCTCCTCCTCCCAATCCACCATCCCTCCTCCGCACTCGCACCGTCTCTCCAGTTCTCCTCTCAGCTCCTCCATCGCCATCTTCGACCGCCTGAACTCGTACAGCAAGATCCCTGGCCTCCCGCTCAGTCTCCCTATCTCCCCTGCCACCCTCTGCTGCAACCTCGACGTCGACACCATGAACGCCGACCCGAATATCAAGCAACCCCCTTCGTACCCTCCTCTCATCAGACCTGATTCGTTGGGCCAGCAGTATACCAGTCCGTACAGCAGGATCATCAGCAGCAGCGAGCTTACGTTCCTCATTGCGTACAGCACTCCACGGAATCCGTTAAACCCGTTGAGCTTTGATTCCATTGATACCTTCTCGTCGAAACGCAACGGCAGCGTTTGGATTCTCGTCTCCATCAGTGCTCTGTTCTCTTCCTCCAATCCCACCGCTTCCCTCCTGCACCCTGAAATCGCTCGTATCACCTGTTTCCATGCCACAAAATTGAAAAAAAAAAAAAAAAAAAAAAGAAACCTACCTAAATTAGTCGATTGATATAGAATTGATTGATTGATTGATTGATTGATTGATTGATGATTGATGATTGACCTGTCTGGAGAGCTGGGGGGTGAGATGACGATGAGTGTCGAGGGAGGAAGTGATGTTGAAGCCGGCGGAGTAGTAGTTTTCCATGCCGGAGATTCCTGATTTGATGACATGACAAGCTTCCCAGAGTTTAGAGCTCTCGTCCATGTACTCGTCGAGCCACTTGTCGCCGACGGGCAAATGGAGTTTCTGGACGAGAAGGGTGAGTTGGGAATGGAAGGATCGGAGGAGGGAAAGTACCCTTTGAAGAAATTGAATGGACATGAAATTGTTGGAGAGGTAAAGGCGTTCGAGATCATCGATCCCACGAGTGAGGAAGGAGTAAAAGCCATTGACAGAGTTTGTGGAGGAAGGATCCATTGCAAGAAGAAGAAGAAACAGAGTTAGATTGTGAAGGAGGAGGAGAGGAAATTGAGACGGGGAAAAAGAGGTATTTAAACAGAGAGGAGGAAGGGAAGCATAATTAAGGAGGAGAAAGAAGAAGAGGAAGAAGAAGAAGAAGAAGAAGAAGAAGAAGAAGAGGAAGAGGAATGGAAGGGAGGGGAATATGAATATGTTAGAAGCTCAGGTTTTAAGGTTGAAAAGGATAGTTGGGGGCA